TTCCCGACGTCCAAAACTTGCGCTCGTTACTCGTCCGAAAAGTCCACGACCAAGTATTTACGGCACACCCTAGCTCCCGTAAAACCTACAAGCTCTTTGCAGCACAATATTATTAACACGATATAGCCAGATTCGTCAACTAGTACTGCCGCAACTGCTACGCTTGCAGACGAGCTTTAGTGCCTCGCGATAAGAAACCTAGCTTGCTCCAACTTCTCCCGATCCTTTCGCGCTCTTAAAAGCACGTCACTATAGATTTTTATAGCTTTAATAAAGATAAACACGGCTACGACAACGTCCTTGTAGTAATCGACCGCTTCTTTAAGCAAGCAATCTCGATCCTTTATCACAAGTCCATCGACGCTAAAGGCCTCGCCAAGCTTTATATTTACCACATCTATAAGTATTTTAAAGCTCTTTTGACGCTGACTTTTAACAGAGGACCTTAATACTAGTCTGAGTTCTAGAAAGAATTCAATAAAATCCTCGGCACTAAACTGACCTTCAGCACCGCCGCACACCTTAAGACTAACGGTCAGACCGAAATCTATAACTAGTACTTGCAAAAGCGCCTCCGTCCTTTCGTAAGCTACTACTAAGACGATTGGAGCGAGTTCCTCTTTATAATGGACTTCGCCTAATTAACGCTCTTTCACGACTCCTTCGGCGGCCTTTCCCCTTTTAAGGTAATTCACGGCTACGCCTTCCGGACCACTTAAAATTAGAGCTTGGAACGACTTGACGACCAAACCCCTTTTCGCAAGCTTAACTAAGACGAAGCTCGCGCTTACGCTAACCGCTACCTCGGAGCTTGGAACCTCGCTAAAGAGCACTTCTAGCGCGCCCAAGACCGCATAACTAAACAAGCTAATAAATCAAGGCGCTCGGTTGACTTCGACGTCAATGATAAGGTTTAATTAGATATGCGCTCGTTCTTTACCTCTCGACTATTAAAGAAGCTCGATAACCCTACGAACGGACCGTTCGAGGTTACCGACAACGTCTATAGCAGCTTCAAACTCAAGCTCTCCGAGTCAATAAAGGTTCACCTAGTCTTCTACCCCGGACGGCTACGAAAAGCTCTTAATGACTCTACCCTCGAGCAAATCATTCTTGAACCTAACCCGATTAATATCACTAGCGAACTTGAGTACGAAGTAAAGAACATCTTAGCCGTGCGCTAAACCAAGAAGCACCTCGAATACCGCGCTTCTTAGCTCGGCCGCGACATTGACTTTACTTGGTACCCCGCCTCCGACTTCATGTACGCTCTTTTTAAGGTACGTGACTTCCACTTAAAACACAAAGAGCTCCTCGGCCTTCCTGCGAAGCTCTTCGACTAGATCAAAGCTTATTCGAACGGTGTTGATGACTACGATCACTTGAGTAGTGATAAAGCAATAGATGGACGCTCGAGGACGAGCTTTTTTCGGACGAGAAGGTAGTGTAACGACACGCTAAGTCTCTTAGACGCACCTCACATGCGCCAAGCTACTTCCTTCTTTTTTCCTTTCGTATTCTTCGTATTCTTTCATTCCCCGCTTTTGACCTATGAACTATGGTTCACGAGTCCTTGGCGCTTCTACTTTCGTATATATAGACCTTAGCTACCTTCGACCTCTACACTCGGTAGTTATTGATTCTAAGTCATTACTTTAAGATTCTCTTGAGCTCCCATGTGAACCCCGCGCTCCCGTGAGTTCCTTCAGGTAATCGCTTAAGGTCGTCACACCCGTTGGTGACATTACAAAGAACTTGGTCCTTTGCCCTGGTAGCTTTACTCTAACGAAAACACAACGCTAATATAAAACATATAAAAAAAAGCTATTAGTGATAATTAAATTCTATCGCAAATACAATTATATATTAAAATTCAACGAAGCAAGCGTAATATATATCGATTACAAACTATTAATACACTTTTTAGATTTTAAGTCAATATAAAAAAAGATTTACGTAAGATAAGCTTGCAAGCTAAAGAACCTTAATATAACGATATAATATATCGAAAACTATAAAAACTAAGTCGCCGACGCTTTATTTAAAACGATCTTTTTAAAAGATAATTATCGAGATTTAAAATTCGAAAAGTTCGAAACGATCTCGAAGATAAATAAAAACAAAGTTTAAATTTAAAAAAACGAAAAAGAAAAGTATAAATATCTATTTAAAAAAATAAAGAACTTATTAAAAGACTTAGAATTAAAGAAAGTCAACGCAATAAAACACATATTAAAACTTAACTTTATTTTACAATTATCCGAAAAAGCTTAAAAGGACGTTAAATTTGTATTAGCTTTATATTAAGCAAAAGGACCGAGGTCCGAGATACGTTATTAATTTAAAACCGATATTAAAAAAAAGAATCCCGATATTAAACCACTTGTAATCTAAGCTTATTAAGATTAATACGATGCTTATTTCTTTTTCAAAAACATTAAATATAATTCTTTATCGAAAAGAAGCATATTAATAATACTTTTAATATATAAATATCTTCAACTTAATTGCTTATAACATCTTCTTTATAAACTTAAACAAAGTCAAGCAAAAGAGACTATAAACGAAAGCGAGCTTTTATAAGTAAAAAGAAGAAACATTATAGTATTATTAAAAAGAAGTATAAAAAACATATTTAACGTTTGAAGATGTTAAAAAAACGCTTCGAACAGCTTATAATTAAAAAAGTCATTTCGTTATTATTATTATTATAAAGGAATTAAAAAACGTATAATAGCTTATTATAATTAAAGACGTGTATTTATATATCTTAAAATGCTTAAACTGCGCGAAGCATAGCATCGTTATTAGATCTTAATTATTATTTAACGTAATAATCTCGAGACCGATAGAACTTTTCAAAGTAGACTTTTACAGACCTTTTTTAAAAGTATTAAAAACATTTTGATTCTTTTTAATTATTATAAATTACTTTTCGAGATTTATTTAAGCGTTCTTTTGTATCGCACTCGATTTAAAAAACGTTATACGCTATCTTATAAAACTATTCGATTAAAATAAAACGTTAATCGGATTTTATATCGACTTCGATAGCTATTTTAACGATATAATTCGGAATTTCGTAAGCAAGAAAAGTGTCTTATAAACCAATTCTTTATTAGCATTAAAAAAATCAATAAGCATAATAGAAAAAGCGGTCGATATAATATAAAGAGCGATAGTAAAGATTAAAAGAACATTTAAAAACAAGTTTAAAAAAGTGATATTCAAGACGAACGCGAAAGAGATCTTTTACTTAAAGTATTTATTATTTAAGATCTACCGAAAACACACTTTTAAAATAGTAATAGACTTAGCTTTTTTAGCGTATTATACGAAGATCATTTACAAAATACTTTTGAATTAAAAGGTTCTTAAACGAATTATAAAAAGCAAATTTTATAAAAACGGAAGATTAAAGAAACGCTATTTTAAAACATATCGCGAAGTACGAGATTATTAACGAAAACGTTCGAGAAAGCTTTAAAAAAAAGAAACTATTCTTTTAAAAAGTCCGGAGCTTGCTATTAAGATCTCTCGTAATGCTATACGATTAAAGAACAGCTGGACAAAAGCTCCGACCATTTTAAAAAAAGCCTTTTTAAAGTATCAAGTTTAAAAAGTAAATATAAAAGATCTTATACTTTAAAGCAAATTAATAAAAAACCGATATTACGATATTTTTATATAAACTAACTTAAGCTATTTTATTTGCGGACTTTTTATTTAATAATAAAAAAAGAAGAAAGACTGCCGACGCATTAGAATTTAAAAGCTAGAACTTCGAAACATTCGTTGCTATCGGAGCTTAAGAAAAAGAAGAAAGAAAAAGAGAAGTTAATTAAAACGATCGCAAAATATTAAAAAGAGTAAAAAGATAAAGAAAAAATGAAGTTTAAAAATTTTAATAAAAGTTATTAAAGAATATTAATATTAGCGCAAAGGAAACTAAAAAGCAAGTGAAAAAGAGAATTATAAGAGTTAAACAACGATATTTTAGCGGAGTTTAGAATTCTTTTAAAAAGAGTAATAAGCATTAAGCATTTAGTTAAAAAAGAAGATTCTCGAGGCGAGAACCTCGTAGGATAAGGTCATGTAATGGCTTAAGGCTGCTAGGCCTGTTAAGAGCACGTGCACGCTAAGAGGGTATATAGATTTCTTTTACTAAAGAGAACTTAGAAATATCATCCTTTCTACCAACTCGGTCCCCCCCCCCCCCACTTTGAAGTGCAGTGCATTTTAAAAAAGACTTTCGGATTTCGGTTTCATAAGAATCCTTCGCGACCTTCCAAAAAAGCTTGCTTGATAAACGGCGCGGTAGATAAAGAAGGCTTTGCTCACAAATTCCACCAGGGCCAGCCAGTCCTTCTTGATATCACCATGACTTAAACATCACTACAGTTACGACAGTATCGCATACAGACGAAGAATCGAAGGACCCCGGCTGGTATAGGCTCGAAGGCGAAAGACTGACTCATCTCCCATCTAAATCGTGTATTGATTTCGGAAGCTTCCGACTCCAGAAACACACCTACTGCCTCGGCGTTTGAATATGATCTTCTGCGTAAGGGATATGAAATGAAACGAAGAGATACGGGAAGCTTCAAGGAGTTCTGCTTCAAGTATCTCGCAGGTCGGTCCAAGTAGTACCAAAGTTGGCGAGGCTGCCGTAAGAAGATCAACCTCAAGGACGTGACTCTCCGTACTCCGTGGATCTCGACGGCCATCTCCGCACTCCAAATACATACATACATACATACACCTTCAATCCCGTCCAGTCTGTCTCTGTCTCACGATCCCGAGCAGAAGAGTCATTAGTCTGTCGCGAAGAAGAATGGGATGATCCGGGTAGCTTTGAAAGAAATGGGGATACAGATTCCAGTCGGTCCGGCCCTATTCTAGTCAAGAGACCAGAGTCCGGTAGCCATTTGCTGCGAGAGCTAGCTCGTGGCTTCATCCGCGGCGCTACACGGCGTGCATTGCGAGATTTATCTCGTATTCTATTGCATCGCCTCGAATGGCATCTCGTTCGTTGTTGATGTTGAATGGATGGATGAATGAGAAATGAAGATGAGAGTCAGTGAAGGAACGAGATGCGGATCCCATCCAATCCAGACTAGCGCATCGGGGGCGGCAGGGGCAGTTGATCCGGAACCGAGCGACAGGCGAGAGCTGATAACAGGAGCGGAGCCTGATTGAGCCTGAGCTTGAGCCTGAGAGCCTGAGGGCCTGAGAGCCTGAGAGCCTGAGAGCCTGAGAGCCTGAGTCTGAGGGAAGAAGGGATCCATCTCGGACAGAGCATGAGCCAGCCAGCCTGCCAGCCGTAAGGGCTGTGAGATCAGGAACACCCAGATCACCAAAATCAATCCCCATCCAACACCACCATCTCTTTCCATCATCTTGCGCGCGTCCATCCATCGTCAGATATCCTCCCGCATCCCCATCCATCGTCCGTTTTTGCCTGAGACGGATGTCGCCGTCGCGATAGAATGAATGATGTGGGCATTGGCGACATTCGCGCGAAAGCTCTCCGATCAAAACGGACTGAATTGAGGTGTGTATCTTCCCCAAACCCCAAACCCCACCACGTCCCATTAATTCTGCTGCGGGCATCATTCGACGCGCATGAGAACGCGACGTCGATGCATCTATATATGTATCGGCCTACTCGTGATGCTGACCTCCTGCCAGTCAAATTGTCTCGTCGCGAAAGCGAAAGCTCAGGGAGCTGTTCGGCATCCTCGCTGAAGATGGCCCTATCCCGTCAACCCTCGCCGACCCAAACGCCCCCATCACCACCATCGCCGAAGCCCGATTCCTCGAGGTCAGCGACATCTTGCAGTACGTTATTCTAAAATCTCCCTGCAGGTCGTCGCATTTCGGGCCTATTCGTGGCCCTGGCGACATGGCAACAGGCCGCTCTGCTAATTCAGTGCCTGCCCTACAGAGACCGCCTGTTCGACGAATCCAACCTCCCGGCGCGGCGACAGTTGAGATCCAGCGCCTCGAAGCAAGCGCAGGCGGCCAAGCTGCAGCGTGATGGGTCCAGATCGAGGAAGAGTCGGCCGACGACTCCCAGAACGGATGCTGGGACCTTGACGGCAGCCCCTACCACCGAATCCAGAGAACAGCGTCACGCCAATACAATTCGGGTCCCAGGACTGCCCATGCAAAGATCGACTTCGAAGGGCTCGCAGACCGATCTTCCAGCAGAGGCATCCGCGGTACTTGACGACGTTGTGGAGCAGACTCGGGAGAATGCGAAGGGGCGCCAACCCTCTACCCCCGCGCCCCTGGTACCGGAGTCGGTGGTAGAGAGTGAGCGGCCTAGGAGCGCCGGGAGTACACAGAACGGTCCAGGCCTGGATCCAGGGAAGGCTACGCCAAGATCTGCAGAGGATGCTGCAAACCTACCGGAACCTGTCATCCAAGGACGGGGTTCACACGATGAGCCGCTCAAGGCTGTTACGGCCCACCTACCACCCCAGGATGTACAGGAACAGCACTTGGAGAGGAAGGGGGTTCGGGAGTACCAAGATGATCAGGCGAGACAACTGTCAATCAAGCCTCCTCGAGATGCGATCAAGAATACAGAGGCTGCCTCTTCGCCAGGCTCGACGATCGACGCCCATTCTGCTACGACTTCTGCCATGCATGAAGTATCGGCTGATACGAGTCCAGATAGTGGATCGAGATGTGGTCCGGAGACACTCGACAACAAGGAGGGTGAAGTACCTACCCCATCAGGATCGAAGCCAACGCCAGAGGAATCATCCGGAAAAGAGCATCACGATAGAATTGTGAAGGCCCAGATGGAGGTTTCCGCTGCCGAAGTCCTGAAGAAAGGAGCTTCTGAGCAGTTGCAGGAGGTAGAAGCTGGATCCGGTCTCTCTGATGAGCCACCGAAAGCTGGTGAATTACAGGCTGCTCCTGGCTCATTGAGTCAAGAGGGTCCTCCTGCCCAAGGACGTATCACGGGAGCCCTTGAAGATGTCCAGGATGTTGTGGAAGATAGAAAAGGAGCCGCAGCAGGATCATTAACTGCCCAAGAGGAAGCAGTGTCCAGATCTGAACCACGAAGCGTAGCACCCAGAGAGCCAACCAAGCAACCTGAGATTCCGGACTCCGAGCCTGAGGAGGAGGTTACTCCAGCCACTGGTCCTATGGACGTCGACAGGACTACAGTCAAGGACTCATTTGAAAGTAGTGCTCCGGCTGAAAGTATCTCTACAAATTCCCCTGTCGTCCCTGAACCTCCGGAAACAACAACTCCTGCTACTGATTCACACATGCCCTCAACGACTCCAGTCTCCGCAACACCTCGACAGAGGCCATCCATCCCAGCACCCCCTCCCGAACGGATGACTACTCGGATATCCTCTGGCGCCATGCGGCACAAGTCCGTTATAGAGATGATAGAAGAATCTTCGGGTCCCGACTCGGTCCGAAACCTGCATTCATCCCCAAAGAGTACCACGCCCCAGTCTCCCAGTGCCCGTATGCGTCTAGCCGAGAAGGCTAGGGAAAAGGAGCGCAGCAAACTCTCCACGGTTGTCTTTCCAGGCCGTAAGCCCGCAGCGCCAGTTAGCAATTCGGCCAATTCATCACCCACATCAGCTTCTGACAAGGATTATTTCAAACCGCTGTTCCTTCATCAGGCCTACGAGAGGAAAGGGCTGCCCATAGAAAGCCTGGTGGCAACAGCTCACAAGACGATCACCACGGCCAATTCTTTGGTTACAGTCCATGAGAGCCAGACAACCAGAGTCCTCAAACGAATCTATAGCTTGCAAAGCTGTGACAAGTGGACTCTGAGACAGCCCAAGCGATCACCGGAACCAATCAGGCACACGAGCCATTGGGACCTCCTGCTTCAAGAAGCAAAATGGATGCGGACAGATTTTAGGGAAGAGGGAAAGTGGAAAAGAGCGGCGGCTCGCAACCTCGCGTACGCATGCGCAGAATGGGTGGAGTGTATCCCAGAAGATAGGAAGCTTCTCCAAGTCAAAGCGACACCGCCGAAGCCTACCGAGCCCAGCGCAGAAGTGGCACATGATGTTGAGATGGGAGACGCAACAAGCCAGGCCGGGGCGTATCCCACACCCGAACTTGTTGCCTCTGGCGGACCTGATACTCCCATGGAAGAATTCGACGAGGAGCCCCGCCTCAACCTGACGGAAACGGTTTCTCCCACAGCAATATTTGGATTGCAGGACGATGACATTGTCTTCGGACTGCGGAGGTCTCCTGCCACTGAAAAGTTGCTCAATGAGCTCCCGATGTATGGAGCGCCCCTGCGAGTTCCAACAAACCAGCCAACCCCACAAATCGACCCCGACCGGTACTGGAAACGACCTGCCTTGCCCTTGAGCAAATACGTAGAAGGCCGCATGGAGTTGAAGGTTCAAATCCCCCCAAGAAAGCGGAGCCGCTTTGAGCATCAACTCGAAGATGAAGACGAGAACCATGTTATTTTCGGCGAGCCGCACCCGAAACGAACAGTCCTCCCACCCGAATCGACGGACGTCGCCTTGTTTCACCCCGACCACAAACATATCCGAGATCGCATACACTCATCACATCAATTCAGACCGCCATCTGAGTTCCCAATGCCACTTCAGAGCTTCTTTGAGTCCCGCATACCCTCTCAGTGGACCCCCGATGAAGAATATGACCTGAGGAGTCACGTGCGGGAATACTCGTACAATTGGTCGCTCATTTCCAGTCTCCTATCTTCGCCGTCCCTCTTCGTATCCGGAGCCGAACGGCGCACCCCATGGGAGTGCTTCGAGCGCTGGAATTTCCTCGAAGGTTTGCCTGCTGACATCCAGAAGACTCATTACTTCAGAGCGTACACATCCCGCATTGATGCTGCTAACCGCAATATAATGGCTCAAAACAACGCAATCCCACCACAGCCAAATGCCAATGGTCAAGTACAGCAGGTCACTCCTCGGAGAAGGCTTACCACCGCCCTTCGAGTTGAACGCAGGAGGAACCAAAAACATCTCACCCTCGTTGACGCGATGCGGAAGCTGGCCAAGAAACGCGAGACGAGTGCTCAGAAACAGGCTCATGTCGCTGGCATGGCCGCAATGCGCAAGGCGAACGACGCCCCCCCGGCGAATCGTAACCTTCTTGCGACCACCCCGCAAGACTTTAGTCGGCTCAAGCATGAGCGGGATGAGGCTTTCAAGGAGCGTCTGCAGGCAATGCAACTGCGGCAAGATGCTATGCGAAAAGTAGATCTCTCTTTATGATTTCATATTTAACTGAGCCTTGGTAACTAACATTTTTTAGGCCAACAATCTGCAGCAGCAGCAGCAGCAGCAGCAGCAGCAAGGGAGGCACCCGGGCAACCTGCAGCAGCCTGGTATGTTCAACGGAGGTCCTCCCCGGCCTGCAAACTCCGCCTTGCCAGTCAGCGGGTCGGCTGCTCCGCCTGGCCAAAATCTCACTGTCCCTGGCCAGAACAGACCTCCTCGCCCCATGCCCTCTCAAATACCCGGTCAGCCTGTAACGAACAACAATCTTCGAGTTCCTCAAATGGGGATGAATGGTGTCCCAGCCGCCCAGATGCTAGGACAGATGCCCCTGCCAAACCCTTCCCTGGATCACGGGCTCGTCAGCCGCGCTCATCAAATTTCTCAACATCAACAAGCCATACTACGTCAACAGCAAGGTCAGATCAACGGCCAGTCCCCTCAGATGCACAATTCTCCTCCCCGCATGAACGGCCTGCCACAGCCCGGATTTCAAATGCAGAACAATATGATGCCCCCATTCAATCCCAATCCCAACGGTGTCTCGACGCCCCCAGCAAATTCCCATATGCCATCCCCTGTACAGGGTCACTCCGGGTCTCCACGGATGGGACAGAACCCTCTCCAGCATCCGACCGTCCAGGTCTTGGAGCAGCAGATCAAGCAGCTGCATCCCAACGCAACCCCCGAACAAGTCATGCGCATGATCCAGGAGCGCTTGACCAAGACTGTCGCTACCAGCACTCAATACCAACAGCAGCAGCAGCAGCAGCAACAGCAACAGCAGCAGCAGCAACAGCAGCAACAGCAGCAACAACGGCAGGGGCTCGCTCAAAGTGCCATGAATGCTGCCGCCGGGGCGGGAGGTCATGCAATGCCTGGTATGAATGGAATGGGTGCTGGTCAAGGGACTCCTCAACACTATGCTCAGATGTTGAGGCAGCAGCAAGAGAACCAGCAAAAGGCAGCACAGGCTCAGCAACAGGCCGCATCTCTGGCAGCGTCCGGACATGGACAAGGACAAAGTCAAGAAAACAGGAACTCTAACGGAGGTAGCGGTGGGGGGAATTCAGCACAGGGCCATGCGCATAGGGGCTCTTCTGGCAGTGTACAAAGTGGGAAATAGATGCGGTTTTGGTTTTCTGGGCATGGAAATTGGGTGTACGGGTCTGGGCGGGCAATGGGAGGTTGGGTCTGCTACACGGATAGCAAGGAGGCGTCGATTTGGCGGGTTTCGGATGGGACACGATGGGACTATGTGTAAAGAGTAGTGTTGAAGAAAGGGACGGCGCCCCGGGTTTAGCGAGGCGAATGCTGCGTTGGGAGCGCGCGCGCGTTGCGATGATCTTCTCATCTTGAGAAGGAGAGAAACAAGACGAGATAGCATGATTCACATACATAGATATTGCCTCGCTGAGGCTTCTACACCTCTTAATAATTCCCGTGCCGGAATCACCACTCGAGATGGCCGAGCAGCCTCATATCTTGTTACGTAAGCAAGGCATCCTTTAATCCGCTCGACAGGCGCCACTCGGCCGGCCCTCTAACTCGGATAATTGATTCCCCGACTTTGCGTTCTGTTGCCTCGCTGGATGTCCGTCTGTCTCGTCTCTCCCCCGTCCTACATGATCTTGAGCGCGCGAAAATCACACGGCATCACACGGCATCACACGAAACGGTACGATACCACACGACGATACGGCGCACAACAAAAGACACCTTGAATACAATCACTGTCACCATCAATCACTTGACGCAATCACTTGACGAAGGGGCAAGGCAATGCGAGGAATGTCGCCGTCGAAGGAGTCGCCTCTTTTTGATGCTGCTGCTGCTATGGAAACTACAACGACGACGACAATGGGAGAAGGCAAGACTGAAGGCAAAATGGCTATCAGAGGCTTCTCGCTGTCTGGGTCTGCGAAAACGAAAACGAAAGCGGTAGCTAAACCTGTGGCGCCGGCTTCGCGTCTAGGCAAGCGCGCGCGCGCGGACTTTGGAGATGGGAGCGAGGGAGAGGAAGAGGGCGGTGGAAGGGGGGGCGCGGATTGAGAGGGTGAGTGGCTTTGGGGTGGGGGGTGCGGAGAGGGAGGGGGGTGGGAGTGGGAGTGGGAAGGGAGAGAGAGGGCCGTTGGTGATTCCGAGGATGCCGAATCGGGATTGGAGGGGGGGAGGCGTCAAGGGGAGTGGGAAGGATCTGTTGCCTGCGGAGGAGAGGGCGAGACGGGAGGGGAGGGGGTTGGAGGCGCCGGGGGAGGGGCAGGGGAGAGGGGCTGTGGAGGGCGTGGATGTGGTGAATGGTGCCGATGGCGGGGTCAGATGGGGGTTGACTGTTACCAAGAAGCGGCATGGGGATGTGAGAGCCGCAGAGGGATCTTCGGTCTTGCCTCTGGGCGTTGCTGCAGGGGGGAATCCGGATGCGGATACGGATACGGATAACGGCGTCGAGATCAAAGCTGAAGCTGCAGAGAGCAGCCCCCAACCGAAATCGGCAGACGAAGAAGCACTCGCCTCTCTCCTTGGAACCGGCACGAGGCCCAAACGACCCGAGCTGGTGATCCAGGCGACGGGCTCCACGATGACGGAACTCGAGAGCTACAAAGCGGCCGTGGCGTCGGCGCCGCCCGTCTCGACGATTGAAGACTACGAGCGGATACCGGTGGAGGAGTTCGGCGCGGCGATGCTGCGCGGGATGGGCTGGAAAGGCGACGGGGACTCTAGGTATGGGGCGGGGAAGAAGGGAAAGGAGGTTAAGCGGAGGCAGAACCTGCTGGGGCTCGGGGCGAAGGAGTTGCAGGGCGCCGAGGAGTTGGGAGCGTGGGTGCAGAAGAGTGATGTGAAGAGGCTGAAGCCCGGGACTGCTGGTGGTGGTGGGGGCTCTGGTGGAGGGAGGATGAAGGCGGGCGACTACAAGAGGGAGAGGGATCGAGAGAGGGATAGGAGAGAGGAGCGCGGAGGTGGGAGTAGTTATAAGAGGGAGAGGGAGCGGGAACGCGAGAGGGAGCGAGATGGGTTGGGGCATCGGGATCGTAGACGATAATGCCGTCCGTGTCTGTCTCCCGGCGTTTCGGTGATGGGTTGTGGGAGTGGAGGTGTAGCGTAGCGCACGCGCAACTCCTCTTCCGAATCACAAATCATATGTCGGCTCTCCAGTGTTCTATCGCCTGCCTGTCAACGGAAGCTATCATTCACACAGCGGCTAGATACATGCACTGTGCCACTCAAGGCTCATCCATCCATCCCCACAGAGCCGGCCGGCCACCGCACACCAAACTCCCCCACCTGTTCCCTTCCAACTACGAATCAAGTAAATACCAAATATCCCGCGGATCTTTTTACAAAGCTTTTTACCAAGCGAAACAGAACACTGGGTGTACTCGTCCCCCTCGTCGCAAGGTGTTCGATCAATTCCATGCACCGTTCGGATCTCTGCCCGTTCTGCCTCGCTCTCTAGCAAGAGAATGCCGTCGCCTACTTCACCTTCAGCGGTGGGCAAGCAAGCCTTGCCTGAGCGTCAATGCCTGGCTGGCAAAAACGTCAACTTGGCCCTAGCTGCGCACCCGTCCGGGGGGCGGTACCCAGCTCGAGATGGTATCGTTCGAGCGGTCCGTCCCAGGCGCTCAGAACGATGGCGGCGGTGGATGCAGCTGAGGACACCCAGGACGGCGCTCGCTACCGGACGCAGGCGTATGTTCTTTTCGATGGAGGTCCATCTCGGGATGAATGCATAGCGTACCTTGTGCTAGTGCTAAGAGAAGAGGGAAAGTCGGCTTTCTGTATGTGTGTGTGTGTGTATATGGTCGTAGACCTTCTCTGCCACGGCTGGCAGGCAGGCAGGCTGTCTGCAAGCCGCTGGGAGGGCTGCTGTCTTCTGCGAGAAGTGGTGCTTGACGAAATCCTGCTGCAGGGAGGTTTGCGCAACTGCCTCCTGCTAGCTAGGCTTGGTCGTGGCCTTGGACCTGGGGATGGGGGTGGAGATTGTACCGTATTCATCTGAGGCTGGGCTTATTCCAGATCTCGTGTGTGTAACGATGTCGTTCGCGAGATGTGATATCAGATGGAGCTTGAAGCGTTTATTTAGATAGATCGTCATGCGAGAGATTATAGTTGTCGATAGAAAGGATGGTTGTAGCTAAGATTGTGAAGCAAAAGAGTAGCATACTAAGTATTAAAACGATATTTTAAATTATCAATTCAGTTCAATCCTAGTTTTTTTTTTTTTTTTTTNTTTTTTTTTTTCTTTTTTTCTTTTTTTTTTCTTTTCCTTATAAAAATGCAAGTCTTGACTCTTTTTATGGATTCCGAAATTTCAACAATTAATTGAATAATTATTGATTATATACTCGTTAAGTATTTCATAGAGGGTTTGGATAAGGCTCGCTTGATGTTATGGTTTATTCATTAGCGATTGTTGCTTAGTACTGTAAAAGTAAAGCTTGGTCTTGATTTTCTATGAATTCTCTTTCAAAGCGGGCTGGCTTTAGCTTATTTATAGCAAATAAATTATTTTAGCTTTAATAGCGCCTAGCTGAAAACATATAGGAGACGCTTGACAAGCGTAGCTTAAAGCGTCCTTACCAACACAAAGAGCCGTTCTTACACTTTTGTTAGTGCGATATTGCGGCACGTGCGCCAGGCGCCGGCCTCATCCCTTTTCAAACAACGCCTTCTCACCTTTGGTGGCTCTCCAGCTCTCCAGCTTCTCGGCACTGCACTGTACGCGTTTCGAAAAGGAGAAAAGGACTATCTATGGCTTCACTTCTCAGATGGGCAAGGACTGTTGCTCGAAGAGCACCGTCACCGCCGCTGCGCTTCCCCACTACTTACTGGCTTCGAATTGTTTGACAAGGCCCGGCTCGTCGAAGAAGAACATTACGATGGATTTAAAATGGGGTTATATAATCCTGTGAATGTTGGGGATATTTTCGCGTCCAAATATCAGGTTGTAGGTAAACTCGGATGCGGTGTGACTTCTCCTTCTACGGTGTGGCTAGCTCGGGACCTCCAGTGAGCATCACTTCGTATATGATTTCTCATGCGAAAACTAACGACCAAGAGTGCATCAGCATGTTACCTTGGAGATATATACCCGTGATGGGAACCTGCAAGAAGAGTACAATATTTATCAGCAACTGAGCAGAGGCAACCAATTTCACTCCGGCTGCTCCCACATCAGAACAGCCTCGGAGAGTGTCAGGATACCCTGACCTGGATGGAGGTTACCATACTTGTCTGGTTCAGCAGCCCATGTGGAAGAGCTACGGAGATCTTCGGCATCGATTCTGATCGAAAGGGCTGTTGACTTAAAGTCTTCCCAAGAACTCCCTTCAGCAGCTCTTCCTGGCGCTGGACAACTTTCATAACAGGATGTCATCTCGTTCACACGGGTGCGTAGTGAGTGGCACGGATGGCCACACGTCAAATAATTACGCCCGATGGATTTCATCGCCGTGATGCTCGGCTCCACGTTATGGGCCATCCGTTATGGACATCAAGGACGATGATTTACTCATGCGAATCGCAGATGACTCTATTATCGGTGCGTTTCCCACAGCAGAGATGGAGCATCCTCCTCTCCACGGAAGGTGGCTGACGGGAACAACGATCTACCAGTCTCGGAAGCTTGCAGTTCCCCAAGTCTTCGGGCGATGCAGTCCTGAGCGGTTTCGGAGCAGTGGTGCGAGGGGACGAGAAAAGGAACCGCAATGCACAACCGTCCTCCGTCGACAGGGCGTCCGTCCTCTCTCTCTTGGAGCCCTTATCCTGAAGCCGGACACACTAATCTGGCCCGGGAACCTGCACTGATGTGTTGTAGTCGCCCGAAGTTGTGTTGATGGCGGACTGGAGCTATCCGATCGATATCGGGAACGTGGGCGCCATGATTTGGGATCTGTTCGAGGGCAAGACGACGTTCCGTCGCGAAGATCCCGACGGCGAGGGTTATTCCGCGCGTGCTCACTTCGCGGAGATCATCGGCAATTCGAAGCAGGATTGGAATACTTGTTGGTATTAGTATTCTTCTTCTTCTTCTTCTTCTTTTTCTTCTTCTTCTTCTATTTATTATTCTTATTACTTTTATTACTACTATTACTACAGTTATTTTCATTACTACAATTGTTATCATTACTTTTATTATTATATACATGACATAGCAGCAGCAATATGGCAGTAAACAATCGCCAACCATCAAACTCCCTTCCGTTACAGAGGCCTCATCCAGTAACGTCAGATCTCAACCAGTAACGTTCCCGTCTCCGGGGAGGCCTCCTGTTTCTCCGAAAAATACCTGCCCGCGCCATCTCGAACAACCTATACCCGCCGCCCACCTCACCACTCTGCGAAGAAGACTGACCGCCACCACCTGGGCTCCCGCCGCTCTCAGACTGAGGCACATCATTACAGTCCTCCTCCACGTCGGCCTCGTCTCCGGAATCCAGTTCCATGTACGCCATCTCCGTTATGGGCGACCTGAGGCCGGTGGAAGAATGTACCAACCGCCTGCGTACTGTTCGCACTCGTGCACGAGGGGAAGATTCGAGGTTGGAGCTGAAGAGTCTGGGGTGAACGGTGATGATGCCTCTGTCGTACTCCTCTAAATCGATCGAAGAGATGCTGTCTGAGTACTCACCGGCGATCTCTTCAACCGAGACGGAGAGCACCGGGTACCAGTCGCTGGAGCGGAAGGGCTCTCGTTGCATGGGAGCGGCAGGGACATCGAGATCCGATAATGGTCCAGAATGCCAACTCCACAGGTCTGTTTCCTCTACAGCAGTGGTACCGCTCGATCCATCAGAGAGCACGCTCTCCGCATATGCTCTCTGAGGTGTGCGCTCTACCTCCGACTCTGCGGTTTCGTAAACGGCGGCCGCCATCCGAGCACGCTGCTCCCGCTCCCTCTGTAGCGCAGGCTCTCTCCAATCATCCCAGCAATGGACAACGTTGGCACGCATCGGGAACTCCTCCTCGCTGTCCTCTTCGTCCAGAGGCGGTCTCCTGACAGCCGCACTCGGTTCCATTCGAGAAAACCCAGGAGCCCCGGGAACAAATGGAGAATGAGACAGCGTTGCTTGATGGCTGGTCGGCGCGGGACGCTCGAGGTCGGCGTCTTCGGCAGCCGGTTCATCCTGCAAGGGATCGTTGGCGTGGGAGGCCTCGCCGGCATCAGCGCCGCGGATACGCGCTATGAATGCTCTGTGTTGGGCAATGATGTGCAGATAGTAATCGAGGCGGCTGAAGTCGAAATGTCCCGGCGTTGTGGTGATGACGCTGGTAGATCCTTCCTCGTCTCGACTGGCCGGTATACTTCCCAGGGTGGAATCAGGCTCTTGACTGTCGGCGGTCTCCCGCTCTGGCGACCCACTGGGTTGAGCGGAGGAGGAGGAGGAGGCGGAGGCGGCGGAGGCGGAGGCGGAGGCGGCGGAGGCGGAGGCGGAGGCGGCGGAGGCGGAGGCGGATGCGGATGCGGCGGAGGCGGCGGCGTCTGCGTTGGCGTCCAGGTCGCTGCGTTTGAGCACGTCCTCGGTTCCAGCCGAATCGCCGCTGTAGAATGCTGAATCCCATTCTTGAAGACGGGCTCGGGTTCGGTGGGTCAGGTTTGCATTATCCATGATGAGATGCGGATTCGAGGAAGTGCGATGCAGTGCGGTGATGTTCTGTGTGTATTCTTCCAACGAGACCGGAATGGGGATGCTCTGCCTGCTTGTTCTGTATTGTGCGGAACGCTGTTGAGAAAGACTGAAAAAAAGGTTGAGGAGGAGAGGAAGAAGAGGAGGTGTGGGCAGGCTTTAAGTAACTCGGGAGCCGTACCGAATTTTTCGTCAAGGGCAGAGAGCTAGCTAGTGTGGCCCTGCATTAGTTTGGTAAGTGCCAACCGCTTGCCAGGCCGGCGTACCCAAAGTTTCCTCTCGCTAAGCTCGCGATTAGGGCTCCTTTGAATATATCGTGATCATTGCCCACAACACGCTACCGGTCCGGACACCCTCACCTCTCTCTCCGGCTTCCAGCCTTCAAGCCCAGCCAGCCCTCAAGCCGGGTTAGTAAGCTGGGTATCTCTCTATCGCCGTAACACCGATTGGAAGCTCGAATTTGGAATTCGGCTTTTAAAAATACCCCGATTCGAGCCAAAGAGGAGGAGGATCGGCTGGCTCGCATTAGCTCTGGAGCTTGTTGAGGGATAAACTTACATATGTTCATGACGTTAGTGCTACATCAGACTATCTCAAGCTAAGAGCATTGAAACGTAACCAAGGCAGACTAAACGGCAGATTGCTATTCATAGCTCCCTAGTGATGTCGCGGCGCAGTCCCCTTTTTTTTTCTTTTTTTTTTCCTTGAGGGTTCGGGTGAGGTTGCGTAGAGGGAAAGAATAGACGAATGATTGGGTTGAGAGGGAGAGGAGGGAAAGGGAGAGAAGATGGAATATACAGGCTAGGTAAATAGGGGTGGGTTAGGTTGGTTCATTAATTTGCCTTCGTTGGTTGGTGAAGGGATTCTTGGGTCATGGATATATATATATTTATATATATATGTATATATATATATGTATGTGAGTGATATGTATGAAGTTGTGAATTGAGGTTATGATAAGCGAAGGCGAAAACAGATAGATCAGATGAAGAATTCGGGTCGGGACTTCAAGGGCAAGTGAAGGCGAAACAAGTAGATCAGATTAAAACTCGGGTAGGGACTCCAGGGGCTAGAAAGATAGCGCTGTTGGATTCGGCGCCGCTCTCAAGTGGGTTGGTTGATGAGGGAAGTAGACAGGTGGACTCAATGAACAGGTTTGAGTGGAAGAGTCTGGAGAGCTTGGTTCTTCCACATCACGGGAAAGATTTTAGAACCTCCTGCAGGGTAGGTAGTCTGTGCTCATAGTACGGCCTTTTGCTTGAGGCCACGACGGGTGAGTTGAATGGACGGGATGCAAGTGGTGGTGCAGTGGATCACGTATGTGTGGTAGGCTAATATAGATTCGCAGTCTAGAAGTACCTACTACCGATTTACGTAACGGTGATGTATACAGTAATGTAGAATGCTAGCAGTCACCTTCTATTTATAGCGTGAAAGCAGTATGGACTTGAGTCTTTGATGCGGAATATCGTGAAAACAAACATGACGGACGGCACGGGGCACGAATTACGCGAAGATCGAGGAGGACAAATAGACAAAGAGACCCGCCGCCCCCAAGAATCGGAAGTAAACACTACGCTCCACCCTACGTAATGACAGATTAAGTGCTGACCAGCATCCACATCAAGGCCACCATCGCTATCCTTATGCAGAAATCTCTCCCGGGTCTTATTCTGAAGGTCGTACATATCTCATTTATGAATCCACGTCACACCATCCGAGTCCTGTACGGACCTCAGCGCGTTTAACTGGATATCAAACGAATATCCTAACCTTGCCGACCAAAGCAGGAGAGAAAGCACGCGCACCGACTGGCGCCAACATCCGATTCTGAGGATGGAGCGGATGGTGCATATTTCATCTCGACCGGAGGATTGGAAGGTGCGCGAAGTAATTCTCGTCCAACATTATCAGTCGATGTCGCTACAATACCAGTATACGGCGGCGCTGAATCGTCTGCCACCATGGTGGTTGACCGGGCAACAGATTCAGAGCTGGCCGGAGAGCACTCGATAGCGTTCACGTAGTTGCTGACCTGCAAGGCAGACGAGGGTGATGATGACCCCGACCTGCCGCCATCAGCAGCAGCAGAGAGGCTGCTGCTGCTGCTGCTGATGATGATGCCGTCCGCAGAAGAAGGAGAGCTGCTCGACCGGGTGCTGAGACGACGGTCACGGACAGCTGGCACGGGGTCCTCTCTAGCCCACGCAGACGTACTGCGGCGGGCAGGGCCCTGACCTCCCGACATTGGGCCTCCATAGGAACAGATCGCGGCCGCGGGAACGGTCTTTACCATTGCTGTTGATGATGCGGGAGAGGCTGGAGGTCCTCTGCAGGCACCCACGGGGCAGCTGAAGAACTCCCTTCCCTGCGGGCCATTGGTGAGCCCGCGGCGGCTGGCGTGGCCGCACGCGCAGGCTGGGTTGCCCGTGGCAATGCCGATGCTGTCGTCGAAGGTGATGAATTTGCGGTCGTGCCCGTCGTTACAGTAGTAATACGGCCGGCCGCAGTGGCCGTTGGCGTTGGAGCTCTTGGTGATGTCGTCGCGGCAAGGCTTGCCGCAGAGGTAGCAGAGTGGTCGACTTGGGAGAGGGAACGTCGGTTGCATCTCGAAGTGAGGAAAGCTGTGGAGTTTTTGGAGTCTGGTAATAGATCCGCTAGCTAGCGTCAAGGAGGAAGTTTTTGGTTTTTTCGTTTTTTTTTTTTTTGCGTAGCGAGTGGATTTTACGTCTGGTTCTTTGAATGAAAAATACTTACAGCGGAGTTGGGGTACTGATACTCGAATATATATGGAAGTAGATATGTAAACTGTTGTTGAGCCCTCCATGCGCTGCTGATATCAGCCATTTGCCTGATGGCCAACGTTGACTGGGGGGATCCTCAGCTTTTCGCCAAGGGAGGGCATTTCAACCAATGCCTCTCCGCGAATGTATCTGCAATGCGGGTGTATTATTCAATCATCGAACGCAGGCGGTAACTCAGTACGGTCACAGAACGCCACATCCGTGCTGGCCTGTTGTGAATAAATCTCAGTCAGCCATTTTTCTCGGGCCCTGTGGAGCTGAAAAGTCGAATAGGGGCTTAAGCGAGGGCGTGAAGCCCATCGGCAATGCCTTACTCAGCCTCGGCGCCTCCAGCGCTTAGAACTATTGTCAGTTGGACGGAAACCAGAATACATATGGCATACCGAGCAAGTTATCTCGGAACGTGATACATCTCTTTGAGCAACGTTTTGGACCACACCGATTTCTGCCTGGGAGCTACGGTACTAACGATCTTATAATGAATGCATAAAACCGCTTTTCGCACCACAACGAAGTGCCAACACTTCGGAAAAAGTCAATATCAGCAAGAAGGTTGGTGACTTGGGCTTTTTGGGGCGAGGGGGGGGGGGGGGGGGGGGATGCAATGCAGAAGAGGTGTACGTGGAGAGCGAGCGATGGCAGTTGTTGATATCTGTTATGAGCTCCTCGCTCTTACACGTAGGGTATCGAGAGAAATTCGTAAGCGACTCTTTATTCTTATATTCTGGGACTTGATAGGTATATAGTCTTACATAGATACCTGTACTTCGTACATAGCTTCGAAGGACAGCCTTATGCACGTGACCGTTGTGAAGCGAAGCCCCTTAACCACGGATTTGGTGGAAGGCCGCCAAGGAAACCCAGGTCTCATTCACTACGTCCCAGGCGTAAGTATTACCCCTTGAGGGTAGGGGAGCCATGGGGTTGATAGCGGGAACTAAACTTTTGAGGCACCCTCAAGGGGTAATAGTTACGCCTGTAACATGGTATATTGTAAGTTAGAAAACAGGGGTACCGGATCGATAACTAGACGATCAACAGGGAATTCAGAAATAAACAAACATAAGCATGAGTTGATGAGGAGCTTCCATTCAAAGCTTGTCTGTTTCTAAAATCTCTTTTTCTTTTCTTTCCGGATACCAGCCAACTCCCCTTTCAAACCCTTTCCGTACCTAACCCTTCCTAATCCAGTTAAGAAGCCACTCTCTCTACTGGCACATGTAAGAGGAGATCTTATCTTGATAGTACTCAAGTCCGGTGTGTTTCTTGAGGTTGCCTAGGCTACCAGTGAACTCGAAAGATCCGCTCTCGGTTTGGCAATGAGCATCACTAGGGAGGTTGTCTCGGTCAGCTTACCTATCTTCGGCGACGTGCATAGGTAATGAAAAGGACAGGAAAAGGACAGGAACAAGGAAAGGGCTTACACGAAGAAGGTGCATTTGAAGCCACGGGTATCGAGAGAGCTGACCGCATCCGTCATGTCTCCTCCACTCATGTAGTTCATGTTCTCTTGAATCTGGTCAGCTTGGGTTTCTTGAAGAGAAAAGAAAAAAGACGGGGGCTTGAGGAGAGGAGTCTGACCGCAAGAATTGGGAGGAGCTGGAGCATCGTTTACGCAGCTAAACCAGCGTCTATGGACGCAAAGCTTGATGGTTCGCTCTGCTCTCGGAGCCAACGCGTCGGCAGGTGCTACAGCAATGAGCTCGGCAGCCGGTGCTGCTGTCACAACAGAAGCTGCGAGGATAGCGGCGGCGACGATAGCGTTGATGGAAATCATGTTGATAGATTGATAGAAACGACTTGCCGTGGGAGATGAATGGGAAGTTGATGATCGAGGTTGGATGTGTGCAGTAAAGACTGGATGCTTGTAAAAGAAGACTTGACGTTTGTAGTAAAGACTGGATGCTTATAGAACAAGACTTGATGTTTGTAGTAAAGACTGTGTGACTGTAGTAAAGAATGAATGAGTGACTGATGAGGAGAGAAACCTTTTCAAAGGATTCTACAGAGATATAAGTACTTTTTCTACGGAAGATACTCCGCAAGGCTACGGATATTCATGTGTTTCTCCAGCGTCTACGGGGTCTGATGGTCGTTTGGTCTGAACTCAAAAAGGGTCTTGACTCTTTAGTCCTGGGTATATGGAATAAGGAGGTTACTCCGTACGCTATTACTCCTCAGTCGCGTATTTCACATTGCTCCGTGCGGCTCGATAGCATGGTGTTTGGCCTGGAATCGAAGCGAGATTTGCGTAAATTTCCGTGTGCCGCTTGGACTTGGGAACAACACGTATCACTCGGATCTGTCTGTCACGGACGATTCTCTCCGGTAGTAGTTGGATGCCCAGGTCCAGGTGCTTCGTGCCGGAGGCCAGAGGCAACAAAATATTGACGCGAGCATTCATGATCGCCACCGCTATACCTAGTAGTCAGTGCACTGACTTTGTAACCTGCGGGCTCTCGGTAACAGTCAAGGCAAGCAAGTGTTCCATTTCAATTATTTCAACTTGTATTGGAAATAACTTAATGACAAATAAAGCTATGATATTAAAAAATTTAACATTTCTAAATAGCCCAATTCCGCAGATTAATGCATTCAATTTTTAATAATATAGCTTTTTTTATTATTAATTTATTCAAGTTGCAAATCGTAAAAAAAACTAATGTTTTCTTTTCTTCATCGAAAAGAATCGAAAATCGCGATTTGTATTTAAAATAAGTCAATAGGGAGAAAAGCTATAATAATAAAAATTAGATATACGAATCGAGGTAAGTGAATTATATTTTATTTATAAAAAAATATTACATATTTTATCATTAAAATAAGTAAAATAATACTTATCACGCAAAAATTACAATTATAAGAGCGAAAAAAGCTCGGATAATTTAGCGAAAAATTTAAGAACATCAACTTTTCGATTATATTTATAACTTAAATAAAATAATGATTATGAAAGCTATAATAATGAAAACAAATTGCATGAGTCCGCTTAATTAAATGTCTTTGAAATATCAAATTTTTATATTAAATTTTAATATAAGATACGATTAATATCAAAAAATATAAAATTTCCAATATAAAATATTTGATTTTCAATCAAATTCAATTAGTAATCAGGTATTATTTAATTTATGAATTATTATATTTTCAATAAAAAGTTTTCATACTTAATTAAACTTTCAAAGATCTCGATTACGCCGATCTATGCATTTAGTTTTGAATAATATAGCATTATTCGTTGCTAAGTTATTTCTTATATAAGTTGAAATAATTGAACTGGGTTCTTGCTGACCTGGGACATTTGCTTGCCTTTGACTATTACCGAGAGCCCGCAGGATACAAGTCAGTGAGTGCACTGACTATTACCTATGATTAGAATTGTTTCCAACGGCTACAAACGCGTTTGTAGGTAACGAAGCTCTTACTTTGCAAAGCGACGCGAACAGGGACCGACCTTAAGATCTCAATCTAAGAAATAGCCATCGCTCACAATCCGGACTTTCGTTCCTTTTTTTTTTTTTTTTTTTGGAAATCTGCGAATAGCTTCATTTTCCATTTGACGTTGGTTGTCCTCGTGTCCAAGGAGAAATCGAGCAATCGAGAAATCGTTCCAGGCCGGAATGCTTGGCATGCCATGCCAGACCACGTGCTGGACCACGTGCCATCCCAGGAATGATATCATTCCCATGTGACGGCAGGCACAGCCCGAGCCGGCCAACCGACGGGTCCCATCTGTTTACGACGTCGATGGGCTGGCTATTGACGATGTCGATGGGTGCTGGTCCCCACGGAAACCAACTGCTTCCTGGCTCCCCAACAATATCCAACATCCATCATCCATCATCCGTCATCCATCATCCAAAATCAACATCCACCTCCCACCTCGCAACATCGACGACTGTTGTTGACGTTGACTATTGTTGACGTTGATAGGAAGTGCTCGCCAGGATTGGCGTGCCGAGGCAACGAGCGCCGAGGTAGCTCAGAGGTGTCCGGACCAGACCAGACCAGACCAGACCAGACCAGACCGGTCCATCATCCATCATCCATCATCCACCATCCATCATCCATCAACCCATCAACCCATCCATCAATCTATACCTCTGCCGACAATCTCTCATTCTGCTGCGGGAACCGGGCCAACAGGTATCCATCGCCAGTGTCAACACTGCCATCAACCACCACTACAATGGCCTCACAGTTCTCTCACCCGCCCATCCAACGTCCGAAACCCCGTCGCCCCTTCGATGCAATCCGCGCTGCTGAGCCGCCCTCCCCCCAACTCCAGGCCTCCGGGTCCCCCTCCCGCAATCAATCGTTCCTAAACCTGACCAGCTCGACGCTGCTGGGTATCTACAGCCCGACGGGGTACAACGGCGAGGCTGGGAGTGAGGTCGTGACGCCGTGGGGGACAGGTGCGCAGACGCCGCGGACGCCAGGCCTCTCGTCTGCTTCTCTCTTCTCTCTGCCGTCCAATCTGAATACAGACGGAAAGGAAGCTGAGAGTGCGAGTGGGAGTGTACAATGGCACAGGAGGAAATCACAACCACATATCCCTCCGCCGCGGAAAAGCGCGATGGTGTTTGCCTTGGCGCTCAGAAGTGTGCTCTTATTCAGCATCGGCATGGGCTACGGCTCACTGGTGAGACATCTCCACGATGACCACCAGCTCGCGCCTTTCCAGGTGGAAGGCATCATCAAGCTGCAGAATGACTGGCGGTATCTGGTGTTCTGGGGATTTGCGGGCGTGGGCTTGGGAAGCTTGATGCCGTGGGTGGATACGCTGTTTCTCGCCCCTGCATCCGAGGAGAGGGTGGATCTAGGGAGGAAGGGGATGGGGACCGAGGTGGAGCACGAGGAGAGGGAGGGAGGCGTGTTCGGGGCGGACTGGACGCCTGTTGTAAGGAGTGTCGGGGCCTTTGTGGGCATTGCTTACGCGATTGTATGTTCATTCCATCTACCCTGGACCAGACCCCTATATCACATAAACCTCTACTTCCCTGTCTTCACCTCCCATTCTTCAGACTCATCAGAATATACATACTGACCCAGGACCAGCGCAAACTCCCCTGGTCATCTCCCCTCCAAGCATCCCTCACCCTCTTCCTCGTCAACCCCGTCCTCTGGTACCTCCTAGACCGATCCTACTCCGGCTTCATCCTCTCCTCCTTCGTTGGCCTCTTTGGCACCACGGCCCTCCTCGTCTCCAACCCAGGCATGGTGCCTTCTCCCGCGACGACGGTCCTGCCCGGCACGACCAAGCCATTCGGGATCCCGGCATTGAACGCGACGCATCAGGCGGGCGGCGTCTACCTCGAAGGTGTGCTCGGCGGGCCGGGCCTGAGTCGGGAGACGCTGGAGGCGGGGATCTGGACCCTAAGCGTGCTGTTCTGCAGCTGTGTTTGTTTTGGGAACGTGGGGAGGAGGTTGGCGTTGAGGGGCGGCGGTGGAGTTGTAGGGCGGAGGAATTGAGCCGGGATTCATTTTGCCTTTGGTATTTTGGATGCTGGGAAGGGGAGGGGATGAAGGGGAGGATAGCAGTATCTTCACCCTAGTAATTATGAATCATAGTCCCTAGGATGATCGGCATAGTGGATGTAAGGCAAAGACCGTGGAATCAGGTGAAGAATGAACCCAGGAGAAGATGTGAATGAACGAATAAATGGACCAGGCCAAGCCCTAAGATGCGATACTCTGATACGTAGGACATGTAGGTGGTATGATATCAGGAAGTGGGTGTAGCAACAATACATACATGATCGATGAGCAGTTTGGAGAGGAGAGAGGCGAGAACTCTTACCTACTTGGGGTGGATAAGAGTTGATTCAGAAGAAGAGGGAAGTGTTTGCTTTGGATGCTATGTAAAATAGATAAACGGCTTAGAATGATTGTACGGTTCAGGGTGTGGTTTAGAAGGGCGGGTGGGTAGGTATACACGGTAGAGTATAGTTACTAGGTAGGTAGGTAGGTAGGTAGGTAGATAGCTGCTGCTGCTGCATAGAAATTTTTAATTTTTTTTTTTTTTTCGCATTAAAACTCAAGCTTAATTAACAACTCCGAAACGTAGAATAAAAGAAAAAATAATTTCGAATGTTAGCCTGTGCTTTTACTATCTAGGGAAGTGGTGGTAGGTAGGTAGGTAGGTAGTTTAAACCGAATCGAATCCCACGCTTCCTGTGAAAAAAAAAAAAAAAAAAAAAAAAAAGAACAAAAGGAAAAGGTGGGAAAAATGCAGCGTTGAAATACAGGGACCGGTAGGTACCGATCGATTGGATTTTAAAGCTGTTCGATATACTTTTGCTATACTCCCGATCTAATAGGAGGCTTTCTCCGATCTACGTACCTTGACCCCGTCGAAGATCCTCCTGTATTTTCCCTGGTGAAAACCCCTGTTCCGTAGCCTCAAGGGTGCAACAATCACGCCTGTACCGTGGTAGCGGTACTACGTACTACTACGTACTATAAATCGAAGTTGCAATGAAGAGCCTTGAACGTTCAAGTTGCAAGCTCGAGTTGCAAGCTTTTCCCCCTCCTCTACTTCCTCCTCCCCTTTTCTTTCCGCTTCCGTTCATCCCCCCCTTTTTTTTTCATATTTGCTACGACGCTACCTTCTTGCGATAGCCTTTTCAAAAGACATTTTAAACGAGCGTAATTTGCGCAGTCGCCATATCGGTGTTGTAATCGCTGCGGTGAAAGCATGCCACGCTATGTAATTAATATTATAGAACCAATTTCGCAGAAACACTTTGGCATAATCGTCGGTGACCTTAAATTTAATTCGGAAGAATTGATCGAGTCGCTATAGCAAGTCGGCATTATTAAGGCGGGACGGTAGAATTTGCTCCTTTATAATAAATAGATAATTAAACAAACTACTATATCGTAATGATTCTTGTATAGAAAGATACACGGTATTAATTTTGAAATTGATTTAAGTACAATTTGTTATTCCTTTAAGATAGTTTTTGAGTCTAATTTCACTACATTTTAATGTATCAGGTCATCACAAATGAATGCATCTTTATATTCTTAAGTCACGATTATATAACAAAGTTCTTTAAGCATATAATTCTTTTTTCCTTATTTATATTAATAATTGTTATCTAATAAGTGGTATACCGTTACTGTCCCGCCTTGGTGGTGCCGACTTGCTACAGCACGTCGGTCAATTCTTTCGAATTAAATTTAACGTAACCGACGATTCAACTTCAAAAAGCAAACTCGAGCGTTCTCTAAAAGATTATTAGTTGCTTAAGCAACGAAGTTCTGAACCATGCTTGCAAAGCCACTTTCTCTCGTTATCAATTTATCATCTTAAGCTTGGTAAAAAGCTTTAATCATCGTATCGATATTCATGTTACGCTGATACATATTTCTTTTTTTTGCTTATTTCGGCGTTGCTATTGTTGTTGTTATTGTATTTATTAACGTCCGGCGGGTATCCAAAACGCAATGCTTAATTAGACCTTGGGGACCTTTAATAAGGTACGGCGACGTGCTAAGTAAAGGAATTATATATAAAGCCTATTTAATCGAAAGTTAAAACCACGTTAAGGAAAAGATTTCGTTAAATAGCTAAACACTTATAAACCTTTTAAAAGCAATTTATAATGCTATGCGTAGAGTTTTCTTTTAATAACTATCGAATACGTATAGCTTTACGGGCGGCTTCGATTTATATAATATAAACATCGTTTTCCTTCGCTAAAAAGGCTCGCGTTCGTAGCTTTTAAGTAAAGCCGGTATATTTTGCAAAACGCTTTTTCAAAAGCGCAATACCGTGTTTTCGATTAATCGAATTAAGCTTTTCTTATCTTATTTTTTATATCCGTTCTTTTTTTATCGTAAATCCTCTTAACCTTTTTAATCGATATGCCCGTTAAGTATAAATCGTAATCGGCGTAGTATTTAAGAAAAGGAAGAAAAGAGGTTCGGAACCGCCGGTAAAAAAAATATCTTTTCGAAAAGACGTCGCATATCGATAATTCAATTTCTGCTTTTTAAATTCTTTATTTTTCTTTTTACCGCAAGAAAAAGAGAGAAAAAGAGCTGAAGGTTCGTAAGGGGCACCGCGTACAGGTAAAGAATCGTAGCCCCCCCGCTTATTTTCGGCCTTAAAAGCTGAAAGGATCGTGAAAGCCGAAGAAGTAAAAGTATCGTTTATATCGCGCGCCTTTTTTTTCCGTATAACAAGTTTTTTAATAATTTTTATTTTTAGCAAGCTTGGACTTAAAAAGAGATTCGCAAGAAGAGCCTTTATGATAAGAAACCTCGAGTTTAAAAGAACCGACAATATAAGGTAGCGTTATTAATCTTGAGTTTATTACGGAAAAATAATAAAAAATTATAATGGCGATTTAATTTCATTTATTAATTCTCACCATTATGTATTTGCAATTAAAGGTGAGTTTACCTACCTATCTATGCATGGCCACACTCATCTCCTCACCCACCCTCCTAACAAGTCGTCGCATCGCCGAGTCCCAGTTCGGTCGCACTCAGCACCAGATCCATCAAGCCGGCGCCCACCTCTTTCATGTTGTCGTTATGCAGGGCAGCCGTCGGGTAAAAGGGGCAGCCCTCCGCCATATTCGCAAACCCGAACTCGATCGCGTACGCGTGGATCAGGTTCAACGACGGGTCGACGAAGTGGCGCGAGTAGGCATAGTCGTCGCTGGAGCCAGACGTCGGGTAGAAAGCCGCACTCGCGAGGGAGGTGTAGGTGCGTCCGGCCACGGCGCTCATGCCGGCGGCTATGCGGCGGGCGCCTTCGATGTTGATGCTGCTTTCGGATTCGGGGGAGTACTCGCCGTATCCTGTCCCGACACCGGGCGTGTCGGTTAAGATGCCCCGGACGGAATCGTAGGTGTGGTTTTGGAAGTTCATGCTGGGGAATTCGGATTGGTTCTCGTCGCTGCCCCAGCTGTGGATGACGGTGCCGGCGTAGGAGTGGAGATCGAGGAACCATCGGATACGGCTGAAGGTGTCCATTACCCATTTCATGCTGAGAGTCTCGGCCTCGGAGAAGGCGCTGGGTCCTGGCATGGGATGGGACGTGTTTAGTTTTATCTATCTGTCCCGAGCTGATACTGACATGGGAAAGCAGGATGGATCAAAAGGTTCAAGGGTAGCAAAGTTCACGTACCGTGAAAATTCTCCGCAGAAGGATCATCGGAAGCGACTGACCGTGGGAGGTTCGGTGCGAAAGCCGTCCGGTAATCATGCAGAAAGTCGAAGTTGCGGTTCAAGTCCACACCGACCGAGGCATCCGTGCCCGTCGAGGAGCGGGTGTTGCGGTTCTTGCGCCAGCAGCTGTTGGTCGAGTGGTCCCAGGCGACGCCGTCCGGATTGATGAGAGGCAGGATCACGATGCCGGCCGCCAGGACGGTCTTGACCTGCTCAGCCGTGTAACTCTTGGAGCCGTAGGTCAGGCCCTGGTTGTGTCTGTCCGCATAGAGGAGGTCCCCCGCGAAGAGGAGGATGCCGTCGGGACTACCGCGCTCGCGGGCGTGAAGGCCGCCGTTGAGGTAACTGTTTTTTTCCGAGAAGGATAAGTAAGTATGTATCAACGAGGTATCCCTAAGCAGGAATTGACTTACATCCGGTAGGCACCGTTACACTTTGCATCACCACCTCCAAGCAGGACTCCAGTGATCGAAGCACCGTTGAAGGTCTTGTACGGCGTCGTGAACAGCGGGACGCCGTACACGCTTGAGAGACCGCGCAGACCACTCGCGATCTCATTGACGTTCAAGATGCTCGTCAGCGCTTCAGTGGATGACCCGACGCCTCGCGGTGCGATCTTTCCATTTTTGTAGCGGTCTCCGGCTCCGATTTCGATGCTAGTGTTGCCGGTCTGGCGACGGATCACCTTCATGGGCAAGCCCTCTAGCTCTTCCCTACAGAACGGTGAGCAGAGTACTAACCAAGCTGATATTCCTTGAAGTCTTTCAAATCAGAAGAGATATGACGTTCCAAAAACGACATGATGAAAGTCAGCGTCTCATGAAACTCAACTGTACGTACTCAAGGAGACAAGCGAAAGCCAAAAGCGGAAAGCAGATAGCCGCCGAGGCGAAGATCTGGAACTTCATTATTTAAGATAGCAGCACAGCGTGTTGACTTGAATCGAGTTGAGCCTGTACCACGGTGCGAGAGCAAGGGCTTCGGATTAGACCTAAATTTTGTACGAGGAATGAAGAGATACTTAAGTACAGGAGGAGATATGTTTATTATTGAGGTCCGAGGGTTCCTTAGCTTTCGCATTCCGTAGCCGAATTACGTAGTTATTGTTTCCTCCCCTTTACAAATAGTCCCTTTTATTCTCTTCCTTGTTCCTTACTCCTTCGGTCCTTCGGCCTTCGGAGAAAGTTAATAATTAAGCGTTTTTTTTACCGGAAATAAGCTTTGCTCCAATATGTTTTAGTTTGATAAGAAAACGTTTCTCGGATTCTAGAATAAAAGACCGTGCGTTGAATACGTAAAAAAGAGGTTTCTAAAACTTATCCTCGAGGTTGTATCCTTTCTAAAGAATCAGGTACCGGTATTGGAAGCCTTTGGCTTCAGCTCTCTGAAAGTCGAGAATAAATTTTTGTGATAACACGCCAGGTCTCCTAGGCGATATTCCCACCAGCGCCAATTCCCTTAGCTAGCGCCTTCTTTTCCTTTTCATATTCCCTCGCTTCTTCTTTTCCTCTTGGCGCTTTCTTAGGTTCGCCATGCACCAAGGTTGACTACAGTCAACCTTCCTGTATATACGTAGTACCTCACAGCTCCCTTCAACCTCTACTCTCAGTAGTTATTGATTCTAAGTCATTATCTTGAGATGTTCTTGAGCTCCATGTGATCCCACGCTCTCCCGTGAATGCCTTAGGTAATCGCTTAAGATCGTCACACTTTTACCGCCTATAGCTTTTCGCTATTAGCATTTATACCGGTAGCTACGGAAAAAAGACGATGGTTTTATTAACTTAAAAAAGGGTCAACAGATCGAAAAAGGTTTGTATGAAAGCTATCATTCGGCTTATCGTGCTCGAAAAGAATATTTAAGCGATAAGTATAAGAGCCCAAGACTTCCTTGATCTTACAACGACCGAAAAACTTACGTATGATCAAACTTCTTGAATAGTTTTATCGGTCTTAATTATTATAAGAATTACAGAAAACATCGTTTCCAACTCGATCAGCAATGGCTAGAAATCTGGTTTTATTAGTTGCGAATTTTTAATGCGCTTAAGCCGATATAATATTTGTTTTGAAAAAAACAAATATTTATTTTATTTTATTTTATTTTACGAAAGCCGTGCTTGATTTGTTTCTTATCTTGATTGCAAATGTAGCGGCAAGTTGGAAAGAGCGGAGAGGGCCGAAGCTAATACAAGAATAATAATTTATATTGGCAAAGAAAAGGGATTTATATTACGGAGGGAAGAGCTCCAGCATATACCTGACTGCGAATCAAAAGATATATGGATATATGATAATGATAGAATCGAGGGTGAAAAGAAGGGGAAAACTGAAGTTCGAGTGATATTCAAATATATGCTGTTTGTATTGTATATTGTATTATATTGATGATGGTTCAGGGAGGAACTAACCACTCGTCTATATTAGGCGTATGAACGTGACCTAGCCACGCAACATAGGCGACAGGTACGGTAGTAGTAATAGAAGTAGTAGTATTGTTTTAACACCTGCTGCGGGTCCTAAAAGGAGTCCGACTTACCACCTTCTTAAGGGTATAATGGCTTGCCGGCATTGGGTCCCACTTATAAGCACTTCGCAAAGGCATATGGTATTTTAATCAATTGAATAGTTTTTTAATTACAAAGTCCGTGTATACCGATAAAATAGAAACCCGTAAAAAGAAAACCAAATCGATATAAAGTCTCGGGCCTTTAATCCCGCGGTATTGCGCTTTAATATATCTTAATGCTTTTTATTAACGGCAAATTTAGTTAAGTGTTAGTTGCTGCGATCGCTTTCTATTGCCATTAATTTTTAGCAGCTTAATATACCGTCTTTACGATTATTTAATCCAATATCCGATTAAGATCCTTTTCTCTTTTTCCCTTTTCGTCAGACCTTTTATATTTATAATCGATTATATTTATAAGCGTCTTCGAGCTGGCTTTTGCTGAAGGTTTTTTTTATCGTATAGCAATCCCGAAAGTTCCGAAAGCTAAGCCGCTACCGTATTTACTTCGTTCTTTTAGCGTTTTTATATAATCGATCGTAAATACCGCTTATCGTATCGGATTCGAAAAAATAAGGGTCGAATTCAGTCGTCAAATGAAGTCATCGAGCTAGTCGGTAAGGTCGGGTTCGAGTTATGCACAAAAAAGTATATTATAGTACTTCGTCATTCGTTCCGTCGGCAAATACGAAAAATACGGCTAGCATTAAAGTGTATCGCTTCGATTACCTTCTGAAAAAAGATGCGTTTTCTGATCGGCTTTACGAAAATTATTAAGAATATCGCAGGTTCGTAGCCAGCGCCACGTACAGGCTCAGAAATCCGTCGTCGTTGGCCAGGTACGGTAGTAGTACTAGATACAGAGACAATACAAATACAAGGCATAAGCTCCACCACAATATAAAAGCGTTTATGACGTTATATTGGATTTCCGATTGCTTGATCTGCTTGCATGTTTGCTATATGTAGTTGGCGTGACTTTCTAGCATTGATAAATTTGTATTGGTAGGTGACTTAATTCGGAATCACCTAAGAGTATAAGAGATCGGTGTATATGTGACGTGGGTTCCTTGCGGTTACAGGCTTCTTATAGCGCAAACTCACCACCTTTATACTAAATGAATAGGTATCGGTAGAGTCCCAACTCTTCGAGTTGAAACTAGCTTCTCCGTGATTAACGGCTTCGTCAATCACTGATCAGTGTTGGATCGCATCGCCGGTAGCGAACGTTCGTAACTTCGTATTACTAACGTGCCGCGCACGTAGCTTCTTGCAATTGCAAAACAATAGGCATAAATGGTATCCGGATTCTGTCTGTTTCTTAAAGTTCGAAAGAGTGGATTCCTTCTATACGATTGAAAGGCATCACGAGAATACGGTAGGTATCTAGTAGCAATTACAAAGAAATTGGGGGTCCCTTGCCGGTATGCTACGCTAAGCGAAGCATGCTTATCCGTGCCTGAGATACCCGAGCCTTTATTATGCGTAACAGTAATACCTTACAGGAATACCACGTCAGGCCTGACAGGAATAGATCAGTGTTGGTATATCACAAGGAGGTTTGATAAACCAATCTATGTGATTGTTGTGTTGTATTGGATGTTTGATTCTATTCCTACAGTTGTGGGCTGTCCCCTAAGAGGGCAGGAACCACGGGTGCACGTGCCATACTCACGTGCCCGGCTCACGTGCCCGGCCCTCAATGGTCGCAGTGGTCCGACAAATACCTTATAAGAATACTCTTTTCGGATGCTTAGCACCCGTTCAGCTATGGGGAAGCCTTCGCTAAACTTATAATTTACTACGTAAAATGATGATCCGATATATTGAAGTTTAAGATGATACGTATTATACCACGGTACAGGCCTAAGTATTACCCCTCGAGGGTGCCTCAAAAGTTCAGTTTCCACTTTGAACCCCCTGGTTACCCTATCCTCGAGGGGTAATATTTACGCCTGGGACGTAGTAATTTCGCATCGTATTTCGGACTTCAAAAGAGTCCGCTCTAATAGTATTGTAGAAGGAAAAGCTCTAGAATTTACCTGACTGCGAACCAAGAGATATATAAGAATATAATTATAATAGAATCAAAAGTGAAAAAGAAGAAGTAAGAAAGACGTTTGAATAATATTCGAATGTGTTTTATATATATGTATGTATGTAACGATGGTGATGGCTCAAAGAGGAACTAACTATTCGTTTATATACTGCTTTACACGTAATGCATTCACGTATCGGAAGCGCTTGACAATAGTATTAAACATATAAATAAAATAAATATAAGCTACTAGCTTTATTAGATACGTCCCTTTTTCGAATCAAGCTCGCCCTCGAGCCGCAAACACTATCAAAAGTAATAAAGCAACTTGCCTTAGAAAAACAGTATTAAAATCACAGTATAAAATTATAGCTAATATAATCGTAATCTAATCTAAAGAGCCAAGTAATGACGCGTTGCCGGACCGGTGATAACGCTAAATGAAAACGGTAATATACTACGTAATAAAGAAAAAAGCGGCAGTATAATACTGTAAGTTTGCCGTATACGGCCAACCCTTCTTTGTATTAGCTTTGCATCACTTTTATTCAGCTATAAAAACAATACTAAGTCTATAGCATAAGAGTAGTATAATGATAATCTAGCTTAAGAAACCTGTCGGTACATTACTACCGATCCGAGGCAGTTGGAGGTAATGTGGCCGTTTCGGGTATCTTAGGCACGGATAAGCATACTTCGCCTAGCGTGGCTTGCTTTAAGGAACCCTCAACTTCGATAGAAAACCTAGTATATAGCTATTGCACGTCATCCCTATTAATCGTATAATAGAAGGAATCAGCTCTCTTGAACGCTAGAAAGTAAACAGAAATCAAGTGCCGTTTTTCTTTATTGATTTGTAATTGCAAGAAGGTACGTGCTTTGCACGTTGTTACGAAGTTACGAACGTTCGCTACTGGCGATCCAATACTGATCAGTGATTAAATTAAGCTAATTATTTAATCGTAAAGGAGCTAAGGTGGATACAAAGAGTTAGGACTTTACTTATATTTGTTTATATAATATAGAAGTGGTGAGTTTGCGTTATAATCGTCGGTTACCTTGAATATAATTTGTAAAAAATCCCGACCTGGCGCACCACCAAGGCGGGACAGTAACGGTATACCATTTATTAAACAACAACTATTTATATAAAAAAATATATATACAAAATTAATATGCTTAGAAAACTTTACTTTATAAACGTGAATTGAAAATATAAAGATGCATTCATTTATGGTGATTTAATACATCATAATACAACGAAAATATAATTAAAAACTATCTTAAATAATTTAAATTTACTTATCTATTGCGAACATCTTAACAATTAAAGCCTTAATCAAACTCAACATCTTACAGATCGAAAATAAATGATTTAATCTGTTGTTTTATCAAAAGTATTGACTAGTAAACAAATGTTGAAAGTAATATACGTTTTTTTTTTTTTATTTTTTTTTTTTAATTTTTTTTTAAAAAAATAAAACGTCCG